GGTTTCCTTGGTTGTCATCTTTATGGCAGCAGATTGCCAGGCCTTTCTTCCACAGAGCCTCTAGGTGGGTTCAAACTGCCAACCTTTAGATTAATAGATGAGCACAAACCATTTGTGTCACCCAGGAACCTACTTCTAGAATACCGGGGCACAGGAAAAGGGAACAACCACTTTGGACAGGAATCTGGCAAAACCTTGTCAAGCTGAAGATGTACAGACTTGACGCTGGCATTTGCCTTCCCAGGTGTCTCCATTAGAAGGTCGGAGGTGTGCATGGGAGCATCCAAGGTAGCGGTGTTGCCACTGCACAGAGCCAGCCACCTAAGTGCCCGACAGCCATAAAGCCTGATCAAGTCCACCACACTTTCAGAATAATACACAGCAGTGAACTGTATCAACATAAATAAACACAAACAATGATGAGCAAAATAAGCAAGTGGCAAAAGGAAGTTGGGAATATGGGGTTTGTTACACTATTCCCTATAGTTCTCTTCGTGAACAAATATTTCCAAACAGGGCCCCACAGAAGCGGCCGTACAAGCCTTCACACTCGAAGAGGCAAAGGTCTGCTTAGTCCCCACGTGGGTGCACATTTCCTCCTTAGAAGATACTACCTGCCCCTGCACCAACCACCTCCTCTCTCCAGAAACATCTCGTGGAATGATTGGTATGGTTGGATTTAGGTCTACCATTTTACTATTTGTGTTCTGTTTGTCCTGTTCTGTTTGTCTGGTTTTTGTTCCTCTGTTTCCTGCCTTCTCTCAGATTAGTTGAATAACTTTTAGAATTCCATTTAAATTAATCTTTTGGTGTTTTAACTATATCTCTTACAATTTTTTTGTATTGCTCTGATCCTGTTAGCTGCCATCGAGTTGGACCCTGACTCATGGAGACTAGAACAAAATGCTGCCTGGTACTGTGCCATCTCCACGATCAGCTGCAGATTTGACCATCGTGATTCATAAGGTTTTCACTGGCTGATTTTCAGATGTAGATCGCCAGGCCTTTCTTCCTAGTTCCTCTTAGTCTGGAAGCTCCCCTGAAACCTGTTCAGCATCATAACAACATGCAAGCCTCCACTGACAGATGGTGGTGGCTGCGCATGAGGTGCACTGGCTGGGAATTGAACCCTGGTCTCCTGCATGGAAGGCGAGAATTCTACCACTGAACCACTACCACTGCTCCACTATTGCTCTAAGGATTACAAGAACACATCCTTAACGATTCACAGTATAGTTTGTTAATATTGTACCAGTTCACATATCATGTAGAAATCTGGTGACCGTATGGGTCCATAGAGCCTTTTTTTTTTTTTTTTAAATGTATATCTTTACACTACAAAATAGAACACTGAATATTTTTCCAAAATAATGAACCATTTATTCTAGTTGTTGTTAGGTGCTGTCGAGTCAGTTCTGACTCATGAAGACCCTGTGTGCAACAGAACAAAACACTGCCTGGTCCCGCGCCATCCTCACAATCATTGTTATGTTCGAGCCCACTGTTGCAGCCACTGTGTCAATCCATCTCATTGAGGGTCTTCCTCTTTTTCTTTGACCTTCCACTTTACCAAGCATGATGTCCTTCTCTAGGGACTGGTCCCTCCTGATAACATGTCCAAAGTACTTGAGACGAAGCCTTACCATCCTGGCTTCTAAGGACTATTCTGGCAATGACTCGACTTGACGGCAACATGTAACCAACTATTTTGAAGGGTACCAGGCAGGTAGTGTGAGCACAATGAACGTTGTTGCTGTTGTCATCAAGTCGATTCTGACTCATGGTGACTCCATGTGTACAGAGTAGAACTGCTCCATTGGGTTTTTGAGGTTTTGAAAGCAGATCACCAGGCTTGTCTTCTAGGTGCCTGTGGGTGGATTCGAACTGCCAACCTTTTGGCTAGTAGTAGAGCATGACCATTTGCACCACCCCAGGACTCTGTATAATGAACATTCACTTTTATTATTAAACTCTCTTGACTTGCCAACTGCAACCTAAGCCTCCTTTTCTTCATCTGTAAAGGCGCTAATAGGACATATCTCAACACACACACACATCTATGTATTTACCCAAAAAATACGAGACCAAAGAGGATATATAAGTGGCTAACAAGCACATGAAAAGATGCTTGACGTCATTAGTCATTGTTGTCATTCGGTGCTGTCGAGTCGGTTCCGACTCACAGCAACCCCATGAACTAAACACTGCCCGGTCCTGCGCCATCCTCACAATCATTGCTATGTTTGAGCCCATTGTTGCAGCCACTGTGTCAATCTATCTCGTTCAGGGGCTTCCTCTTTTCCCTGATCCTCTACTTTACCAAGCATGATGTCCTTTTCCAGGAGAAATGCGATACCACACTGAGATACCACCTCACCCCCACTAGAATGCTATTTAAAAACAAAACAAAACAAAACAAAACAGATGTTGTTGGTGAGGATGTGGAGAAATTGAAACCCTCATCCATTGCTGGTGGGAATGCAAAATGGTACAGCTCCTGTGGAAAAGTTTGGGGGTTCCTCAAAATGTTAAACATAGTGACCATATGACCCAGCATTTCACTCCTCTGTGTATACCCAAGAGACCCGAAAGCAGGAACACAAGCCAGTACGTGTACATCAATGTTCCCTGCAGCACTGTTCACAAGAGCCAAAAGCTGTCCATCAACAAATGAATAGATAAATTAAATGTGGTACATACATATAATGGAATATTACTCATCCAGAAAAAGAAATGAAGTCCTGATAGATACTACAACATGGATGAATCTTGAAAACATGATGCTGAATGAAATGTCAGTCACAAAAGGACAAATACTGTATGATCCCACTTACATGAAATACGCAATTATAGAGACCAAAGCTTATTAGTGGTTACCAGAGGCAGGAAGGAGAGGGGAGGGGGGAACTTACTGCTTAGGGGCACTGAGTTTCTGTTAATGGTGGTGGAATTTGGAAACTGGTAGTGGTGCTGGTTGCATAACATGATGAACATAATGTCACCGAATCACACCTGTAAAAAACATAGACCTGGTACATGTTTTGTTTTATATATACCACATAACTCATTGCCATTGATTCCGACTCAGAGTAGAACTGCCCCATACGGTTTCCAAGAAGCAGCTGGTGGATTTGAACTGCTGACCTTTCGGTTTAGTAGTCATATATGTATATAGTTGTTTTGTTTTGTTTTCACAATGAAACAATTTAAAAAATATGCAAGAAACTGGCAAAAGTCTGCTCTGCAAAGGGGAATTGTAGAATGTGGGGCTGCAAGGAGTCTGAGAACTTTTTATAGTGTTTTTTCAGTTTCTGCATATATTAGAGTGGTACCTATTCTACTAGAATGTTCTGAGGCTTTAAGGGCATCATGTATTAAGCACATAACTGCTGAGTCATTACATATATCAGGGGCAAGAGAAGTGTGGTATAGGGTGAGAAACCTGGCAGCTTTTTCTTTCACCTAGTGACCCCAGCATCTCAAAGTGGTTCAGCCAAACTATTTGTTACCTTTATGGATTAGATCCTCCTTCTCGAATGGGCTATATACCTCCTGGAGGTACCAGACGCCACAGGATAAGCACTGTGCAGCTTCCCGGAGACTTGGGGAAACCCATTTTTGTAACAGGAGCATGTACTATGGGGGAAGAATATGAAATTTGAAGAATAAAGTTATTTCTTGCCTGAGGCTGGCAGCTTCAGCTCCACCTCTCTCCCGGTTCCCAAGGTATCTGCTCCAGATGACTAAATCCTTGCTATTAGAGGTATCCAAAAACCCAAATCCACTGCCTACGAGTCAATGTCGGCTCATAGAGACCCTACAGTACAGACTAAAACTGCCCCATAGGGTTTCCAAGGCTGTAATCTTTATAGAAGCTTACTGTCACATCTTTCTCCAGCAAAGCAGCCGGTGGGTTTGAACTGCCCACCTTTCGGTTAGCAGCCGAGCGCTTAACCACTGCGTCACCAAGCTCTGTATTTTGACTCATAGTGACTCTATGTGAGAGCAGAACTGCCCCAGAGGGTTTCCTAGGCTGTAATCTTTACAGGAACCGATTGCCAGGTCTTTCCTCCAGCGGAGCCACTGGTGGGTTCAAACCACTGACCGTTCAGTTTGCGGCCAGCACTTAACCACTGCACCACCAGGGCTCCTTATTAGAGGTACAGGGTTGGAAAAGTCTGAAAGGCTTCAAGAAGATTTGACAGTGACAATCTTGTTTTACCCATCCAGACCCACCTGCTCCCCCTTGTGACCAAGGCCTCACATTGCAAAGGGAAAGGAGATAATAGCTCAAAATTTCAAACCTGGGGTGAGATTCAAGGGGCGATAAAACTGCTGACCTTGGTGCCACAGGTTCTACATTAATGGGGTCCAGAAAGGGACCCCCGCCTCCAGAAGTGCCTGAACGACAGCTCCATCCTCATCTAGGTGGAAGCAGGGTGTGGGAAATCACATACCCTGTGGAGACCAGTTCTTTCACCTACGGCAGCAGGACTTAAATGGGAAATCACCTACGGCAGCAGGACTTAAATGGGAAAGGGGCTGGTTTAGTCAGAACTGAGCAAATCCAGCCCTCGCACAACTTGACATCGAGGAGAAACACAGGAGTGTGAGGTGTCCCGGAATGAGTACAGGCTGCTGAGCCCAGAGAAACATGGGCTCCAATTAAAGCTGATAGATGGTAGCATCAATATCCTTGTCTTACCCCTTTTTCACGATTATTGTAATTCTTGCCAGAGAATAGCCTCTGTTATCTGACTTACTGAAGAGACAATTGGAACCCGAAGCTTCTCCTTCCTCTAGAATTCACACAGTCTAACTCCTGCTGCATTATCCAGAAGAATGGGGGCAGGAATGGTGACCAAGGGAAGGAATCTCCCAGTCATGTCAGGGCATCCAGTGGCATTTCTTTAGGTCTAAAGGTCAACCAGGAGGGTCAGTCCCTGTCAGACGCAGTTTCTAATGTGAAAGAAAAACAACAACAAAAAATCCAAACCAAAATAACTTTATTTTTACTACCATTCCTTTTTAAAGAACCAAGGAAAGTGTAGAAAACATGTGGAACACAAACAGCTATGTTTCAGGGGCAAATGAAGGACAACCACTTAATTAAAATGCCCACCTCCTGCAGGCCTGCCTGCCTCAGTTACCGGGCTCTGTTAAAAGGGAGCTCCGTGTCCCAGCTGAGCCCCAGGGAACGTGCCTCTCCAGGGGTGGGCCCATGAACAGGCCGTTTTAAACAAGCTGCTCTCCCACTAATATTCCACTCAGAAGGTCTCCCCTCATATCCCGAGGGGGGGGGTGGGGGAGCTTAATAACACTTCCCTCTTCCCAAACCCAGACTGAACTTCACTAATCCTAAACGAAAATTCAAGACCAGCATAGCAGATGGCACCTGTTGTTTTTCGGGATCTCAAACTGGAGGAAAGGCATTCCGCCAAGCCTGTTTTTTCCTCTCTAAAGGCACCTGTCTGAATTTGGAACTTTGGTTACACAGGCGTTTCATCGGGCCTGGGCCGTCTTCGCCACCTGAAGTCACACTCCTTGCTGTGTGACATCAGGTGGGGAATAAGTCCGAGGTGGTAAGAGGCACCTAAGCAACAAGGCATGCTGGTTCCTGGCAGGGGTCTCTGCCGAGACCCCAAAAGGCTGGCGAAGCCATGATGACACCAGGTGGGGAGGTGTCAAAGGGGTGCTTTGAGGTGATCACCACTCAGGGGAGCTGGCAGGCCTTCGGCTCGCACACAGGCCTGACAGCGCCAGAATGGGAAGAACCAGTCCCCAGCCCCTTGTTCAGCAGCTGCTGGCGAGCGGAAGCCGTACATCTGCACAATCTCCATGCTCACAGGAAGTGGTGTGTACTGGTCCAATTACTTCATTTTCCCCATCTTGAGATGCCTTCGTGGGGGAAGGGGGAAGGGAATATCTCTGGGCGTGCTGCGAGTCAGCATCTTGGGGCTGCCAAGTCTTCGGTTCACTTGGGGCCGAGGCACTCCACAATCCCACTCCCCTTCATGCCATCAAAGAAGAAGAAGTTGTTGTGAGGAGGGTCCCTCTGAGACAGGGCCTGGTGGGAAAAGAAAGAGAAAGGGTCAGCCAAGGGCTTCAAAAGGGATAAAATGAGGGGAAAAAAGTCTTCTAAAAGCAGTGTAGGGCAGTGGTTCTCAATGGTGGGCGATTCTGCCCCCCACCCAGGGGGTATTTGGCAATGTTTGGAGACATTTTTGGTTGTCACAACTCTCTTGCTCTGTCCCTTCCCAGCTGTGGGTCCTTTGGCAGATCATTTAACCTCCTGAACCTAACTTTCCCCATGTAAAATGAGAATAACAAATGCATTATCCTGGGAGATTAAAATAGATGATGAACTTCAAGTATCTAAAACAATGCCCAGCGCAGAGCAGCACTGCTCGGCAAACAGCAGTGATAATTATTTCTGACTATTCAACTGATAAAGGCAACAATTTGTTTCATCGGTCCTGGGCTGCTGCCTTCATCACCCAAGGGAACTGGGTGACACATTAATCGGGGACACACACTGATATGGCTGGGGCTTGCCTGCCTCCCACAGGACAGCCCCAGAACCCAGAGGTCCTAGAAGGGGTCAACAGAAGGACAGAAGCCTTGTAAAAATGGGGCCAGACTCCCTGAAATGATACACTGAGTCATGTATGTACCTGCATGTTTCTAGGGAGAGAGTTCACAGGTGTCAGAGAATTTTCAAAGAGGGCTGAAACGTCACCAAGAGCTACCACCAAGAGAGGACATCACTGAGGCATGCGGCTGGCTTGGGTCTATGATTCCAGGGAGCACCACGCTCGTCATTCACAAGGAAGGACCTCATTTACGAGCTCAAGAACGTGCCCTAGACACCCTTAAATTCTCCATGAACTGAGCACCAATCCCATTCTGTTTCTTCATCTGTAAAATGGGGACAATTATACCTACACCTCAAGTGATCTACTGTGTAGCTAAGGAAAACTTATTGAGTATCTACTCTGTGCCCGGTATTAAGGATTCTGCCCACGTGAAGCTTGTGAGAAGGAAGTGAGACCTGGCCTGTAATGAATTTAGCACAGTGCATGGCAGAGTGAATGCTCAGTAATTGCATTACTATTTTATCTGCATTATAACCTACATAATTTAAAAAAAAAAACAAAAAACCCACTCATTGCCATTGAGTTATTTCCGACTCACAGTGACCCTACAGGACAGAGTAGAACTACCCCATAGGGTTTCCAAAGAGCAGCTGGTGGACTCAAACTGCTGACCTTTTGGTTAGCAGCCGAGCGCTTAACCACTGTGCGACCAGGGCTCCCCTATATCATTACGTTTATATTTAACTATCAGTATCAGTTGGACACTGACTATATGTACTGGGTCCTTGAGCTTACATCCGTTTGGGCAGATGAAACAAAGTCAGGCACGCGAGGTGTCAGGAGGAGGACAAGCCATTCCAGACCAAGGGCAGAGAGAAAGGAGCTGGAGGGGATAGAGGGTTTGGGCCAAGCTACAGGTTTAGATGGGCAGCTGCCTGGAGGCAGGGCAGAGAGCGAGGCAGGGGCAGGGTGGGGTGTGTGGAAGGGCCCAAGTGCAGGGACAGGATGGTGCCTGTACTCTTCGGGCAACAGGAAGCCCCTGGGATGGGGCAGAAGAGGGCAGAGCTCTGGGGCGATTACGGTGTTCCCAACAGGGGGGCCAGGCTGGAGAAGATGTGCTAGCTGGTTCTGAGGGCATGGACGCCCAGGGCTGGCTCGGCCACCTCCTGGCTGTGGGGCTTGGATCAGAGGCGTGCTTCTCTGAGCTCCCATCCAAAACAGACAAACCGTGTAGCACCTGCCTGCTACTCCTTGGTGAAAATGAAATGCCATCAGGTTTGTAATGTGCCTGGCACATGGTAAATGCTCAATAAACAGGAGCTGCTGTTACTAAGGAGCCCCAGTGGTGCAGTGGTTAAGTGTCTGGCTGCTAACCAAAAGGCTGGCAGTTCGAATCCACCAGCCGCTGCTTGGAAACCCTATGGGGCAGGTGCAATGAGCTGGAATCGACTCGATGGCAACAGGTTTGGTTTCTTTGGTTTGCTGTTACTAATGAGGACTCTTCACCAGTATCTGGGGATTCCAAGCACCCAGCCTAGCAGAAGAGCCCGAGACCCACAGCTGCAACTCCTAGGCCATAAATCCCAGGAGATGATACAAGTTAAATAGCATGGAGCCTGTAGGGACCTGCTAAGGACAGTGGGGATGGATGGAAGGGAAGGATAATCTAGGCTAACGAAACACACTTGACAAGGGACATGGATGTTGGGTGTAGTGTCTGGAAGGGCATAAGAAAGGGAGGACATGAGGATGACTCCAGGGAACAGACTGTTACCCCTCCCCTCCGTCTCCCAATGTGTCCTCCTCAGAGGTGGTCAGAGGTCCCTCAGGAGAGCAGGGAGAGCTAAGACGCCAGACTGCATGGCCCTAAGGCCAGCTAGCTGCAGGCTGGACAGGCACTAGGTAAGGGTGAGGGGCGAGGACAAGACAGCAGGACACAGGTGAACATGGGGCAAAAGGTAAAGTGCTTCCCAAGCATGATAGAGGCAGGGGGAGATTCCAAACACACCCAGCAACCAAGAATGCAGAGTCCTCGAACTGTCTGGGATAAACAGAAACAAGACGCTGGCAGCAGCTGTCCCCAGCGGCAGGAAGGAGGGGGCTGAGTGAGGGGTGAAGACTGGGACGCACAGAAGCCACTGCAAACAATGGGGTCGAGGGCACCTGTCTTGACCCCCAATCTCCATCCCACACGGACAACTCAGGGAGCAGCTTCTCAGTGAGGGGTGTAGAGCTGAGGCTGAGGGTGCAAGGATGGTGGTCCCAGGGCCTCTGCAGAGTGTCTTTGGTGGGCACTTGAGACAGTACAGCCAAATGGTGAAGAACACGGGCTCAGCAACCAGATTGACTGGGTTAAAATCCTGGCTCTGCCACTTACCAGCTTGGGAAATCAACTGCATTTCTCTGCTCCTCAGTTCCTCCTTCATAAATTAGGGACCACAACAGTTCCTACCTCATGAAATGAGTTCATCCATACAAACAACATTGTCTGGTATATAATGGGCTATCAGTAAATGTCATCTATTATTATTGTTGCTGTCATTATAGACTAGAAAAATACACAGGTTCCCATACCCCCCTTTACGGCTTGTGCAGTCTTTCCTGCTGGGTCTGTCTACAGGCAGCCTCAGAATCCTTCTCAACACGGTGCTCTGGGAAGTCACTGCCAACTTCCTGGATTGGGCCTAGAAATGGCATCTCCACCTCACTCTGGGCTAAGCTGAAGGCCTGAGACAGAGACAGGCCTGGCCATCACACACCTCTCTTCTTTCCTCCCCTCTTCTCTTTGGTGAATGTCCACTGCTTAGGACAGAGAAGAAGTGCAGATCTGGGGAAGGGAGACGTTGGTCCAGAGAGAAGGATCAGGTAAAGAGAAAACAGGAACCTGAGGAAGAGGGTGAGACTATCAAATTCAGTCAACTGTCTCCAGAGCAAATTTACAGACCCAAAGACAAAGTGGTGAGAGCTGAGTCTCCACATTTACTTGACATGTAAATAGACTTGGGAAACCATTTAACCAGGCCCAATTTTGCCTCATGAATGTCAAGGACAAACCATGACTAGAAATCTACTAACGTAGCCAAGACCTTGCAAAAGGCAAATTTAACACGTTCGGGAAAATAATAAAGTTCCCAAAGAAAATACATTTGAGAGCATGCTATAGTTTTAACAACCCTAATGGTCTGGGAGAGACTCAAAAGGCTATGCCAGTTACTGGCTAGGGGTCCCCACATGAAAGACTTTCCTTCTGAGAGGGACAATAGCAACTGCCTGGTGTCGTCACGGGGCCGCCCTGTACAGGGCCTCACAGGGCCCCTGGCACAGTGCATGTGCCCCACAGACACTGACTGTGCTCATCTGTACACACACCTATGCGCATGGGGTAGAATGAGAGGGGCTTGATGCCAGCATGATGGATGGAGAAACAGTATAAAGTCGTGGTTAAGAGCACAAGCTTTGGAGTTCTTCTCTGGGTCTTGGTTTCTTCCTCTTAAATAGGGATCATGATCATCCCTATTTTATAGACCGTGAGAAGCAGAATCCCTGGCAGATATAATTAGCACCAGATAAATATATAGTAGAGTAGACAGCACCTTACAGGCAACATGTCCAGCTCTGAGCTCAGGACAGAGTAGTCCATGCTTGGGTCATCTGCTGAATGGCCACCCGGACGGGATGGCAAGAATGGGGACGGGGTGGAAGAGGGAGAGGAAGGGAAGAAAAGGGCAGGGTATAAAACAAGGATGGGGTGGGTTAGCTTCCAAGGACAGCCCTCAGGTTCTGTTTGGCCCAATGGGTCAATGCTCTTCTGTTTCACGGTGGCTTTTTACCTTCACAATTTCCTGTGCCAAGATCCCGCCAACCACAGCACACACGGGGGCCATCTCAGAGAAGCAGTACCTGCAAGAGAAGATGAGTGAGATGGGGCCCTGTGGACAGGCATGGTGATGACCTGGGGAAGTTCAGTAGCGGGCTCTGTGTGCAAACATCTCCTGCTACTGGGAGGAGTCAATCCTAGTCAATCTGGAGAACAACACTAATGCTGGCATCCAGGCAGGGAAATGAAATCTGATCCAGGGGTTAGTGAGTGGTTGGGAAAGACCTCTGAACTTTGGGACGCAAGAATTCTTTCACAACACTTTCTTTTTGTTTTTAAGTTTAAGGAAAGACTATATCTGTGCTTCCTAAAAATAAGGCCCTACAAATATCAGATGTTTCGATGCCCCAGTCACATTCTCGCAATTCTCTTCTCACCCATAATGGGCAGTGGGCTCTATCTGCTGCTCTCAGACAAACATCAGGGAAGAGGCCTGTGTTAACATGCAGGAGGCCTGGGAAATTTGGGACCTGAAATGGAAGCACAGGGACAGAAAAGTCTCGACTACCCACACAGAAAGCAGCCCTTCTGGGCCAGGCTGGGGCATCCAGAGGACAGACTTTAGCAGAGATTGTCACCTGCTGCTCCGAATCACCATCCTGGGAGCAAAGACGTCCCTCCACTGCTTCCCCAGGAGGTGTGCTCTGCCCAGTTCCCACCCCTGCACACAAAGGTGTGAACTGGGGCATAGACCAACTACAGTGAAGGCTTCCCCCAGGAATCTGATCACCAGGAGACCACCTCCTTTCTTCCCAGTGTGGTGGACAGGCTTCCACATGATTTTAAAAGTGTATATATCTAACCATGTATCATTTAAAAACCAAATACAGTAAAACCTGCAAAAGCCAGAACGTGTAAGGCGGAAAAACTAACATATTTTCCACTAACACAGAGCGAGAGAAAAGTGGGAAGACTGCACCCTGTCAAAGGCAGAAAACTTGTGAGACCCAGAAAAACAAGGCAGTCCTGTTGAGTTTTGGCTCTCACAGGTTTCACTGTACAGCTAGTGCCTGACTGACAGCCGACGACTCCCTCGTAAGTTGGGTCTGGCATAAGCTGAATGCCTCCGTTTTTTTTTTAAGTTTTCATTATTATTGCCTTTAATTATCGGTATTTTTATAAATCTGATCTTTGTCTTTGGGGATTGGAAACATTACATACAAACTTACAGCTTTAACATCTGCTGCTTCTCCAGTTACTCACGTTACGTAAGGCCCACCCCCAAAAAAAGGGCGGTCCAAAGTGCGATTTGTCCCAGGGACTACCTGTACTATCAAGCCATTATTCATTCTGCTTTGTAACCTACTGATGGATATTCAAGCTGTTCAACACAGCAATCACACATCTTGGCATAGGTGTGCAAATAATTCCTTGAGGAAAATTCCTAAATACAGAATTGCTGGGTTTTGATACTTAATACCAAAATGCCCGCCAGAAAGGCTGTATGCATTTCAACTCCCTCCTACCCCGGCCAAGACCAGCACACTCATTCTGTTAAACCACGCTGGTAACATTTCCTCCTGCTTGGAAAGGTCCACTACAGAACTCTAGAATGTAGAGAACTGTATCAAAGAAAAATCAACCACTCAGAATTCTACTATTTATGATAATCAACTCTGGGAATATTTCCTTTATTTAAAAATACACCTATATTGTTTTTTTCTCTTAAAAGTATATATCACCTCAACAAAATATTAGCCAGCTGAACCACCAACATATAAAAGGTATTATACATCCCTGAGATAATCTTTAAGCCTTAAACCAAAAATGTCCCCAGAAGTCTTCTTAAAACCAAACACAGTTTACTTTAACTAGTAAAGAATGTCTGCCGTGAGCATTGTGCTCTTTTAAGAACTATCTCTACGGGACCAAATTGACAACAGCAACTTGAAAGGTTAGACAGGAAACTTAGGGGCAGTGAATCTATGTTTATTGGGGAGGAATAACTCAGAAAAGGAGGGTGAAAGAATGGTTGTACAACTTGAAAAATGTAATAAACGTCACTGAATTATACATGAAGAAACTGTTGAATTGGTGTATGTTCTGCTGTGTATATTCTCAACAACAACAAAATAAAATAAATTATTTTAAAAAAGGGGATTATACACTATGACTGTCACAGATTGAATTGTGTCTCCCAAAAATATCTGTCAGCTTGGCTATGTCATGATTCCCAGTATTATATGATTATCTACCATTTTGTAATCTGAGGTGATTTCCCTATGTGTTGTAAATCCTATCACTGTGAAGTAATAAGATGGATTATCGGCAGTTATACTGATGAAATCTACAAGATTAGATAGTGTCTTAAACCAATCTCTATAAAAGAGAGAAGCAAGCGGAGACATGTGGGGACCTCATACCACCAAGAAAGCAGCGCCAGGAGCAAGAGTGCATCCTTCGGACCTGAGGTTCCTGTGCTGAGATGCTCCCAGACCAAGGTAAGACTGATGACAAGGACTTTCCTTCAGAGTTGACAAAGAGAAAAAGGCTTCTCCTGGAGCTGATGCCCTAAATTTGGACTTGTAGCCTACTAGACTGTGAAAGAATAAATTTCTCTTTGTTGAAGCAATCCACTTGTGATATATCTGTTACGGCAGCACTACATAAGTAAGACAATGACTAAGTGGGATTTATGCCAGGAATGCAAGGTTGGTTTAACATATGAAAATTCATTAATGCAATACACCGTATTAATAGAATACAGGATAGTAGCTATATGATCATTTTAATGGATACAGAAAAAGCATTTGACAAAATCCAACATACTTTCATGATACCATTCACCAAACTAGGAAGAGAAGGAAATTTCCTCAACCTCATGAAGGGCATCTATAAGAAACTCACAGCTAACATTATAGTTGAGCCCTGGTGGTGCAGAGGTTAAGTGCTCAACTGCTAACTGAAAGGTCAGCAGTTCAAACCCACAAGCCGTTCCACGGGAGAAAGATGTGGCAGTCTGCTTCCGTAAAGATCATGGCCTTGGAAACCCTATGGGACAGTTCTACTCAGAACTGACTCGATGGCAGTGGGTTTCACTTTCTGGTTAACATCATACTTAATGGTGAAAGACTGGATGTTTTCCCTCTATGATCAGGAACAAGACAAGGACGTTGGCTCTCACTACTTCTATTCAACAATGTATTGGAGGTTCTAGCCAGGGCAATTAAGGAAGGAAAAAGAAATAAAAGATATCCTGATTGGAAAGGAAGATGCAATACTATCTCTATTAACAGATGACACGATCTTGTATATGGGAACTCCTACAGAATCCAAAGAAAAAACTATTACAACTATTAAATGAGTTCAGCAAGGTTATAGGATACAAGATCAATATATAAGAATCGACTGTACTTCTATACACCAGCAACAAACACTGCAAAATGAAATTTAAGAAAACAATTCCATTTGCAATAGAATCAAAAAGAATATTATTTAGGAATAAATTTAACAAAATAAGTGGAAGACTTGTACACAGAAAACTATAAAGCATTGTAAAAAGAAATTACAGAAGTAAATGAACACATATCCCATGTTCACAGATCGGAAGATTTAATATTAACATGGTGCTGTTGTTGTTAGGAGTCGCAGAGTCGGTTCATAGCCACCCTATGTACAACCGAATGAAATACTGCCAGTACTGAGCCATCTTCACAGTCATTGTTATGCTTCAGCCCATTGTTGCAGCCACTGTGACAATCCATCTTGTTGAGGGTCTTCCCGTTTTTCACTGACCCTCTACATTAATATGATAATACTCCCTAAATTGATCTATATATTCAACCCAGTATCTATCAAAATCTCAGCTGCCTTTTTTTTTTTGCAGAAATTGACAACTTGATCTTCAAACTCATATGGAAATGCAAGGGACCCAGATAGACAAAACAATCTTGAAAAAGAAGAACAAGGTAGAACTCACACTTCCTGATATCAAAACTCACTACAAAGCTACAGTCCCCAAGATAGTGTGATACTACCATGTTCATTGCAGCACTGTTCACAATAGCAAAAAGATGGAAACAACCTAGGTGCCCATCAACAGAGAAATGGATAAACAAATTATAGTATATTCACACAATGGAATACTACACAATGATAAAGAACAATGAATTCATGAAACATCTCATAACATGAATGAATACGGAAGGCATTATGCTAAGTGAAATTAGTCAGTCGCAAAAGGACAAATATTGTATGAGACCACTATTGTAAGAACTCAAGAAACGGTTTAAACACAGAAGAAAACATTCTTTGATGGTTAGGAGGGTGGGGAGGGAGGAAGAGGGGTATTCACTAACTAGATAGTAGACAATAATTATCTTAGGTGAAGGGAAGGATAACACACAATACAGGGGACATCAACACAACTGGACTAAACCAAAAGCTAAGAAGTTTCCTGAATACAACCAAACACTTTGAGGGACAGAGTAGTAGGGGCGGGGGTCTGGGGACCATAGTTTCAGGGGACATCTAGGTCAACTGGCATAACAAAGTTTATTAAGAAAATGCTCTGCATCCCACTTTGGTGAATGGTGTCTGGGGTCTTAAAAGCTAGCGAGTGGCCATCTACGATGCAACAATTGGTCCCAAACCAACTGGCGTAAAGGAGGATGAAGAACACCAATGTCACAAGGAAAATATTAGCCCAAGAGACAGAAAGGGCCACATAAACCAGAGACTGCATCAGCCTGAGACCAGAAGAACTAGATGGTGCCTGGCTACCACCAATGATCGCCCTGACAGGGCACACAACAGAGAGTCCCTAATGGAGCAGGAGAAAAGTGGGGTGCAGAATTCAAATTCTAGTAAAAAGATCAGACTTAATGGTCTGACTGAGACTGGAGGGACCCCAGAAGACATGGCCCCCGGACACTCCATTAGCCCAGAACAGAAACCACTCCCGAAGCCACCTCTTCAGACAAAGATTAGACTGGACTATGGGACATAAAATGATACTTGTGAAGACAGTGTTTCTTAGCTCAAGTAGATACATGAGACTAAATGGGCAGCTCCTGTCTGGAGG